CAGCACGCTGTTAGCCACCAGCACGCTGTTAGCCAGCAGCACGCTGTTAGCCAGCAGCACTGAGGTCTTAAATGCACTACATGGACAAAAGCATTGGGCCAAACCACTTAATCTTTAAATGCAGGTGTTTTCAGGCACAGGTGTGTAAACTCACTCGCGCAGACACGTGAGAGGCGTTTGTAAAAGACTGGGCCGTTCTTCCGAGCTCACCGAATCAGACTCACCTGGCGAGTGTCAGCACAGGAGCAGCAGGACTGACGGGACCTGAGGTGCTGACAGAAACTATGAATGAGCTCAAACAGGTCTAATGGCGGCCGCAGCATCGCTTTCTCGTGAAGCGTGAGTCTGTGCACAGGCCAATGAGAAACACCGAGAGTCAGGGCAGCACGTGTGCTTCTACACGTATGACCCCGTTCACAGGCTGCGTTCACATTTTATTACATGCAGCTGTGCACAGACCGCAGGGCTGTAATGATGATGGTTAAACTAGGTGTTTCTATGGAAACGCCAGCCGAGCACTGAGGAGGAAGCAGGACGAGTGGAAACATGGAGGCGGTCGGAGTTGGTTTGTTACAGGCTGTGTGGGAAACACGTGTGATGTCATAAATGTTCCACGCTTGCAAAGAGCAACGGCGCAGAAAAGCTCCGGCTTCACGTTCCCGCCCCGAGCCGCAGAAACGCTTTTGTGTTTGTTTTATATCTGAACTCAGCAGCAAACGTCCACAGCACGGCGTTTGTGGCTTTGAAGGAAAATGGTGTCCATCTGCACTCACGAGCAGCACAACATGTTTATACAGACAGAGGCTTTTATTTTGTAGGATCACAGAAATGCTTCAGCCTATAATTTTACCTTTATGTTGAAAATCAGTTCTTGACATGTTCTTCTTCAATTATAGTAATAATAACCGCCCCATTCAGCCAAAAATGTGTTTTTATTATTCATGAGGCTCAGTAAGAGTTCGTAGGAAAAGCTCCCGGAGCTTCATGGACAAACCCCTCACCTCATGGAAACGCTGCATCGAGCATGCTGAAGCGAACATCTGATCAACAATAAGCTGGAGCTGCTCTTTCCTGAGTTCATGTTTCCAACTTTCTGTTTTGGGGTTTGTGGGTTTTTTGGAGGTGTGGTCTTTTTTGATCAGCTGTAAAACAGCCTGTTTCAGTTTGTTGTTTCCAAGAAAAGCTGTTTTGTCTCACTTTTGATCGGGACTGTGTGTCCTCGCAGTTCATTGCTCATTTAGAAGACACTCTGTTGAAGAGCTCTGCGATCTTAAGATAAGATAACGTTTATTAGTCCCACACGTGGGGAATTATTGTTAAAGCAGTGGACAGTTGCATAGACAAAGTAGAGAAAAACACTGGAATAAGATGTCAATAAGACTGTTACACAATAGAATAGAATAAAATACTATAGACAATAAAATAAAATAGAATACAAATGCTATATATAATATGAGTATAATACAACGACGCCAGAAAAGAGTGTTGCACTTAGTTATTGCACTTAGTGTTATTGCACATGTGTGGATGTGTTTGATCAGCTGGAGTCTTTGTTGTGGAGTCTGACAGCCGTGGGGAGGCCTGTGAAATCTCTCCCACACCGTGGGTGCTGCAGCCACTGAAGGAGCCGCTCAGTGCTGTCAGAGTCTCCTGCATGGTGGGAGATGTTGTCCAACAGGGACGACAGCTTAGCCACCGTTCTGCTGTCAAAGCTTGGCTGAATTGTGTTAAATCGTTTAGATATATCTAAACAGAGACATGTCTGTCATATCTGTGCTCCGTCACCCTCAGCAGCTCCGTGATTATCTGATAATCGATTATCAGCACCTGGCGTTGACTTCGTCAGCTCACCCGGCTCAGTGTGTATCTGTATGTGTGGAGACAGATCAACTACTGGCTGCCCTGACGTCACTGAGGGCGGTGAAAAGGTCAATTTCTGATTAATTTGTAAAATGCAGCCAATTATCTTCTGTCTTTGTGTTAAATATTGCACTAACCTGTGAAGTGTAATGGATCGTACGCTGCATGCGCCGCTGCGTCGCCGCTGCTCAGGGCTGCATGGTCTCATTTATGTGCAGAAGCACAACATACAGCAAGTATAATGAGTTAAAGCTGTGTCCTCCCAGCTGACAGTCTTTGTGTTTAGTCTTTGACAGATGGAGAAAAAAACATTTCGGTTGGCTCGAGACTCGCACACAGTCGGCTCTGTGTTCCTGTTTATGGAGTTTCCTCAGCGGTGACCTCACTTCCTTCCTGTCAGCCTTCATTTCCTGACCAGCGGCTGGTTTCATACAGACCACTTACACACACAGCAGTGTTTCCATCACTTCAGAGCAAACCTCAGTGAAGGACTGACTGTAACTGTCAGATTTACGTTACCTGAAGGTTCTGGGCCCACAAGGTGACTGTGTCCCCATAAAGCAGTGAAACAGGAACAGTCACACACCCACAGACATGTTTTCCTTTTCTTTATAAATGGTCTCTGTGTTCAAGCGTCCACACAAGCTGTTTGAGACAAACCAGCGCGGCTCTCGGGATTTTCTTTTTCCCTGGGAGTCGGGATCACGCGTGGGGTGGTGACACACTACAAAAGACGTTTACTTCAGCAGCAAACATACATCAGGCTCTGCTAACAGATGGGTTGCAGATTATCCCTCATGTCATACACATTCAGGTGACTAACGTGATGAACACACAGAAAATGAGCCAGTTATATCCAGTTGTTTATCATTATAATTATATCTGTATTCCACTTATCCTCCATAAAGAGGATGTGACAGAGTGAGAAGCAGAAGAGGATTCTGGGATATCGAGCCGTTTGCATCACCAGCAGTGAGTCAGACTCAGTGACTGTGCACACTATTCGCTGTTTTCAGGATCACAGCAGCTGAGAATCAGCACCGTGTCTATAATAACATTATTTATAATAGCATCATTTTGAAGTGTGAATCTTGTAAAGTTACGCTCATGAAGTAGGAAGCGGGAGTTCAGACACAAAGCCCAGATTGTGGAGCTATTGTGAGTTTATTTAGCAGCACTGTAAGGCAACCCTGACTGCAGACACGGTTGAAGGTTCAACTCTGACAGAAAACACTGAAAGTTGGAGGAAATGTGTTACAAACCTTAAAAACACATTTATAAAATAAAACCCTTTGATTCAGAATATCCAACGTTGAAATCTCTGACAGTTCTGGCTCAAAAACACTTTTTTGTATGAATGTTGGCGTGTTGTTCTGAGGACGCACTGAACCTGCTGTTCATTTTACATCATTGTGCTTTTGTCCTAATAATAAGTTCTACGAACCAGGTTGTAACTGTGGGAAATGTTTCAGTTAAAATGAAGTCATGTATCTGAGGGGACACTTGTTCTTTCCTGGCTCATACTGCAACAGCATAAAGATGTTGGACCCATTAACACTGTTCACCACACAGACTGTCAATAAAGTTAGAAGTCTTGAAGTGACGGCGATTCTCTCAGGAAGCCCAAATGCTGACACAGTGCATACGATCCTGCTGGATGTCAGAGAAACATGTACGTGACTCTGCAGCGCCACCTGGAGTCTCACCTGGACAGGCTGTCATCATACCTGCGGGGTCAGTATTTCTTGTGTTCAGCTGAGTTTGTTCCTGTTTTTAATTCATTTATGAGGAAATATGTTTAAAACGTCTAATCTGTCAGCTTTGAATAAATAATGATGTCACTCACTGCTTGACACAGTCTGGGATCTGAACATGCTCAGTGGGGATGACGTTAGAAAGTTCCTTTAAGCTGCTGATGAACTGAAGTTTCCTGCTGAACTTGGTGCTGAGGATGAAATAAAAAGACAGTTTGAGTCATTCAGATATGACCACTTCCTGTCCAAGAAAACAGCATGATGGGGTTTATGCTCATAAGCTTTCACTAGCAAAACAATGATCTGTGTCAGACGGGTGGTGATGAAGAAAAGATGTGCACCTGATGAAGGGCTTGATGATGGTGATGAGAGCTTTAATGTACCAGGTGGGATGAACCACATAGAAACCCTTCAAGTTCTTCCTCAACCTGCAGGCAGAAAATCACCAAAAGAATCATAAAGAAACACCGAATTAGGGACGTGGAAAGAACCAGCGGTCTCCAACCTTTTTTGCGCCACGGACCGGTTTATGCCCGACAATATTTTCACAGACCGGCCTTTAAGGTGTCGCGGATAAATACAACAAAGTAAAACTAGTACCGGTACTGAAAAAAAGAAGATTTATTCATAACACACGTGAAAAGGAAAACCGAGTAAACGATAAAACGATAACAAAATAACGCTGAAAACCGATAAAAACCCTGAAAACTATACATTTCACACCTGAGCCTCAACTCTCGCGGCCCGGTACCAAACAACTCACGGACCGGTCCGAGGCCCGGGGGTTGGGGACCGCTGCAATAAACCAACCATCCAACCAACATCCAATCATCAATCCAGCCATGGTCTCCCATTTATCCATTTCTGGGTCATGGATGTTAGGGCCTATGTCAGGGTTAAGGGTCAAACAATGAAATACAATTTGTGAAATAAAAGACAAAAGTTAAAAGACTGAAAACAGGTGAATGAAGGAGGAAATAGATTAAACATGATGCCTGGCACACCTGATCAGTTCATGACATGAAGACGATGTCCTCCAGATATTCATAATAATAATAAACCCCTCTCCTTCAGCCATGAGTGAAAAAGCTGGATCTGAAACTGTGTTTTATTATTTATTAGGCTGAGTAAGCATTCTTAGCAATGAAAAAGATCCCTGAGCTTTGGACACATCAGTGAAAGCTTAAATATGTGCCCATTGATAAAGTCCTGATCAAAAGTTTAAGAAATGGCAAAAACTCGTATTGTGCATGGTTGGATCTTAACAAGGTTCCAAGTAGAGCTTCAACATGCAACAAGAAGAAACGGGAGTAACACAAAACACGCAACAGAATCTGGGAAGTGTAACGGATGAATAGCGCCCTGCCGCCACCATGACTTTGGATAAGCAGACGATAACAGACGGACAGGTGGATGTTCGGCCCTGTCTTACCTGCGGTCGATGGTGGTGTAGCATTCTCTGAGCCAGCTGATTCCTGGCAGTTTGTCCTTCTGACCTCCAGCACAGAGATACACGATCACGTAGTTCTCCGCCACCATCAGCTCCAGAGTGCCCACCACGAACCTGATACATGCAGAGAGGCAGTGGTCAGGTGGTCGATCGAAAAGCTCTGAACTGGTCTGCTGCATTGCTACTGGTCAATTATCTGACAGCTGAACCAGTTCCCCTTCAGCACCATCACAGCCACAAAGACTCTTACTGGTTTTATACTGGAACCCGTAGTGGGTCTGTGCACTAAGACAAATTCAGCCTTTTGATCCGTGTTTTTCTTCGCCACGACTTTGAGTCTGATTCTCACTGTGGGATAGGCAAGAGCAGTGACTCAGAGGTGAAGGTCAGGGGTCAGAGGCCAATGTGTGTTCATTACCTGAACAGATTGTCCATCACATACTGGTAGTTCTCCAGACAGTTTTCTGGCAGGTAACAGGAGGAAAACACGATGATGTCATTCATGCCATCTCCATAGTAACCTAAATGGCCAACAGGTGTTAAAGGTGTGAGGGGCATGAGACAAACAGGTAAATCAGTGCACAGGTAGTAGCAGTACCTCCATGAGACAGCACCCTGAGGAACGGCTCCAGGACGCTCATATTGACCCGGCTCTCCTGTGGAGGGTCACCTGTAGTGAAACAGCGCCACCTGGTGCCATGGCTGTCCACCACATCCTCCCTTTCCAGAAAACCCAGTCCGCTCTGGTCTGTTTCCATCAGGCAACCAGTCTGTGGGTCAGAGCTGTGACCTCTGTGGTGGCCTGAGGCAACACCAAGACGCCGCAGGTCATCTGAGAAACGATCAGGTAAGAAGATAAACAGCTGTTCGCAAACCTTGGCCTGTATGACCTCTCCATGACCGCTCACCTTCCAGGTCCAGGTCATACATTGGGAAGGGCAGCGATTCGCTGTCTGAGGGCGTCTCTAGAGCATCTAGATCAAAGTCGAGTGCTTGGTCGTCTTCATCTTCAGGGGAGGGGGAAAGGAAGACAGAAGGCAGGTCATCAGAGACCATGGAGCCGCTGCGACCTGCAACCCAACACCAAAGAGCTGAAACGCCATGAAACGAGAACTGTGGAGTTTCAAAGAGATCCCAGCTATTGTTTCGTTACCTAATGACAGACTGAGAGTCGGAGCCACCAGGACTTTCTTCTTCGCTTGTGGTGGGCTGGTCAAAGCTAGAGTGCTGGGAGGAGCTGCAGAAAGAGAGAACAGCTCAACAGGGATATGTTTCTGTTTACCAATGACAGCCACCTGACAATGAGGGCCTGTTTGGATTCTTATTTTCATTTTTTTAAAGCAAGTAAGCGCAAACATTAGTTTTTGAAGGAAAAAAGCCTAAAAGCTGCAGGTTCTGCCTCGACTCAGCCATCACAGAGCAGCACATGCTGAGGTGTGTGTGCAGAGTCAAGCCCAACAGACCTCCAAAGTTCACGTGGGCTTCGGATTAGCTCGAGAACAGCACGTAGAGAGCTTCATCAAAAAGGGTTTCCAAGGATAAACAGCTGCATCCAAGTCTTACATCAGCAAGCACCATCTAAAGCCCCGGATGCAGGGGTGTAAAGGATGCTGCCACTGGACTGTAAAGGAGTGGAGACGTGCTCTCTGGAGTGACCAATCACGTTTCTCCATCTGGGACTGTGATGCATGAATCTGACTGAATCTGACTGTCTTTTACGTCACTGACACAAGACAGACGCCGATTTTCAGCGCCAGAGAAGACATCGCGAACACTTCCTGTCCATCCAGTGAAACTGTTGGGAACAACGTTGGAGAAACGTGAACATTTTATTTGTATAATCTGCAGATTCTGACAGAAATCTGCAGCTAGAAGCAGCGCTCCTCTGAAACAGCAATAAGTTTGCTCTGGGTCTGAACAGAGCGCGTTGTGTGTGACATCTTCTTTTGTGCATGCGGCTGCTTTGAGCGTTCACACTAGAGCGCGTTTGCTGTCGCATTTTATTTGTAGTGTGAACGAGCAGACAGAAAAATCGGATGTGATCAATAATCGGAGTTGAGCTGTAAGACCTGCAGAGTGAACGTAGCCTAAAACTTCCAGAAACACTCTGGAGCTGTTACAGCTGCAAAGGTGCCGACGTCGTGTTACAGCCCGTGGACCGCGAGTTTCACTCAGGTTCACATCTGTGAACATATACATAGATAACAAAATAATGTCTTTATTATTATTATTATTTTGTATATAATTTAACATGTATTTTAAATTTTCATTCCTCTTTTTAAAGGATTACTTTTCAAATATAAATCGATCTTGATTTGTCTTTCTTTCCTCGAGGCAGCGATTGAGCAGGACCCGTCCTTCGGTAGTAACTGCTGCTAGTACTCAGCCACAGTAGTGATAAGCTACTGTGAATGTCTGTCATTATCGCTGCCACAACAGCTGCTTGGCCATGTTTGCACAGCTCAGCATAGCTCAAACATGAGCTGTAGCTGGCTACGTTTCACTGCCTTGAGCCTCATGTTTGCTTCCTTCTCCTATTTTTGTTCCTTGCTCTCTTCCTTGCATCCCTTATCTCCTTATTGCTCTTTCCTGTCATGCTTAGTTGGACTACCTAAGGGAGGATGAGTCCTGCTGACAGCTTGATGGGTGATGTGGGCAGCCTTTCTTTGTTCTGTGCTTAGAGGATGGTGTTTGAGGAGGGAGAGAATAGGAGCTCCAAACAGAGCAACCAGGTACCAGGCAGCAACAAGACCAAAGTGTCGGGGCCTGGGTCTAGGCACCCAGGGCTCGTGTATCTTTGTATACATGTATATTTTTCTGTGTGTGGTGTTTTGTTTCCTCTGCTTTTCCCCTCGTCTCTCCGTGTGTGCTCACGGAGGTGTTTGTGCGCTTGAGGCAGCCACAGCAGCTGCAGCAGTTCATAGAGGGAGCTGTATTTAAGAGTGGCTGAGCTCTGGATCCTTGAGTCAACACTCATTAGTACAGCCGTGGACTTTTGTAGGAGAAAACCGTCACGACTGTAGATAACGCTAACCTGAGTGTGTTTGTGTGTTACCAGGAATCGGGTGTGTTTTTGGAGTCACGGTGCGGGAACGGGAGTTTTGGGGGTTGCCCCTTTCCTCACCTTGCATGGACTTGTGCACTGTGTGGGATTCAGAGAATCGCCAAGCTGTGTTTTTCCTACTCTTACTGCTACTCCACAGTCTGCCATCGCAGCCCGTGACCTCTGCAGCTTTTCTTCACACTCTGCTATCGAGTCAAATGACACGGATATAAAACATAGAATACGCGAGTCAGCGGCGTCCTCTCCACACTCCAGGCCAGCTGGTGGCAGTAATGCACCACCAACAAACACAAAGAAGAAGTTATGCGGCTCCATCTTTGGAGCTCGCTAACAGTGATGGTGGTGCACAGGGAGCAGATTCCAGTCCAGCTCTGGTTCTGATCTTTTTACTGGGCACGTCGGGGCATTGTTTGGTTTATGAACAATATCATATCCTGTTGTTGGTGTTTGCCCCGCTCCCTCCACCCATGTGGTGGAGTAGATGGGCGCAGCTCTGTCCAGCACAGCTGTCGTTGGTGTCTCTGCTCTAGATTTCAGTCTGTGGACGGCCAACTTGGCCACAGGTGTGAACGGTTGTTGGACACAGTGTCGGGGTGACACAGTGGTCGTGTCCAAATTCATGGGCTGCATCCTCCTGAGGACCCGGCCTTCGCGGTCTACGTGGGCCGGGTCCTCAGAAGGTCGGGTAGGCCGGAAGTAAACGGCTGTGAAATTGGACGGTCTAGCCTTCTGATTAGCGTCACCGCTGTCTCAGCCGTCTCAGCCGTCTCAGCCGTCTGCTCCTTGCTATCTAAAATATAACAGGACACTGGAGGAAACTCTCGAATCTAATCTAATAACTTTAATCTCAGCCAAACCGATTTACTCACGAACAAACAAAACACTGAAAAAGCCCAACAATAACATTTTAGGTTGTCTAAGTGACTTATATATCACGTTTAACCCGAGCAGCGAAAGTCCGCGGTGATGTGAAAATGACGTGCCGGGAGTTGTGCCGTTCTCGGCGGCTTCAGTGACCCTCGAGCTCCCGGCGAGCTGTCGAGCTGGTGGGTAGCAGACGTCTCCGAAAACGTCGAAGCACTTTTGCAAATATGCGATATCTTGATAAACCGAGCAGATATTTGATGTTTACACAGCTACTTTCTCGTCTGAAAATATGTTAAAAGTTTATTTTGTGACCCAGAAAGATTAATAAGAGTAATTTTAAAACTTAGTAGCGGCCGCCATTGTTGGAAACTGGAGTTTGGCTGGGCCGAGCTATGAATTCTGGGATATGGTGGGCCACGAAGGACACACCCGACCCATCCTTCAAATTCGGGGAAAAGGAGGACGCATTTGTCGGCTGCATTCGGAGGAGGCTACGAATTGGGACAGCCTTCGGCGCGTCGCTGTGACGTAATCGGTCTACAAATGCAGCCTCAGGAGGAAGCCCATGAATTTGGACACGACCAGTGTCCGGGTGACACAGTGTCCGCGTGCACGCCGCCTCTCGCCCGCCGGTCGCTGGGAAGTGGAATTATTTGCAGATTTGTATTTGAATCACAAAATTATTGTAAAGGTTTGAGATGAAAATGTTTATTTTAATTTAATTACAGCTGAAAATGTATGAAGCCATTTCAAAAATATTATTGTTTTAAAAGTTTTGTTATTTTTTATTTTATTATATTGTTTTATTTTTCACTTCCTGTATGTATTTATAGTGACATACTGCTATTTATGGTTCATTTTAGATTTCAGTCTTTTTGATGGATTCCTTAATGAGTTTGATGTTTTTTCATTATTAATATTGTATCATTGCTCTCCTCCTGTGCGCAGCGTTAAGCTATGACTTTGTAATAACATGCATTTATTTTGAATCCCTGTATTTGCTTTCATATATTTTTCTTTCTCGTGGCATCAAAAGAGCAGAGAAAAGTTCGTCCTGAGAAACAACAAATGGTCTGCGTACCCGGTCTCTGTCTCGTGGCTGTCAGTGATTTATCCTCCGAGTCGCCACCGCCTGACAGAACACAGGAAACGATCAGAGAGGAACCGAAGAAGAAGAAGAAAAAGGAGCAGCTGTCAGAGTTACCTGGCTGGGCATCAGACACCTGCTGCAGTTCATCTGCTGGAAAATCATGAATATGTTGAGAAGAGAAAATGTCATCTGAAGGAAAAACGACTGGATGAGTCTTCCTTACCCTCCTCGTCTTCCTCCTTACACGCATCGCCTTGTTCAGCCTCCTCATTTCCAACAGATATTGGCCCCCCACATTCTTCCTCCTCCTCATCTTTAAGACCAAAAACACCACAGAGTTCATGACAGGGACTGGCCCGAGACCAGGACGTACCGTTTGTTCTCCATACCTGCTGACCGCTCTGTACGTGGCGTGGAGATGAGCGGTTTGTCCCCCGTTTCCTCGTCGTCTGCAGAGAAATGCAGATTCAGACCTCAGACCTCGCCCGCTCACTCCAGCAGAGGTTTGTGCACCAAACCAAACATGCACAATAAAGACGACTGAAACAGTTCGACACAAACTCAGGGCGAGTTTTTCTAAAGCTCCTTCAGTCACAGACAGCAGTGAGATTTGATTCATTTCACCGATGATGTTCATTTGTTTGAATGAATCTACATGTTGGCTCTCAGCGGGTCAGCATGAATGAGTGTATCTGAACAGTGTGTGACACTGATGGCTCTGTCAGTACCTGATCGACCGTCTGCAGCAGACGTGGCGCTCACAGCTGTCGCCGTGGTCGCAGAGGTCGTATCATCTGTCGTGCTGTTGGCTGCTCGGATGCTCTCAGCAGCTTTGGCTTTCAGAAACGATCTGCACACAGAAGCACACTGAGCGATACTTCTGTTTATCCTTTTCTCTCTCGTCCAGTAACGCTGCCTAAATTCCACACCGTGGCGTGACCCGACCACAGAGTCACACACTGACACACTTTCCTGTTTCTCTAAAGCTGCAGCTTTACAGCGACAGCAGCAACCAGCTCAGAGTGTGCTGCCTGTGATCAACAGCAGTCTTCAGTCTGCTCCTAAACTGTGGTGAAGTGCCCTTCACACCTCCACCTCGCTAACATCACACGCGTCTGAAACACTGTTGTTCTCTTTACATCAGCATGACCTCTGACCGCTTCGGTTTCTCACGAGGCTTTTCTTATTTTCTTAAATTGTTGTTATGTGCTTGATTATTTTATATGTACATCACAGTTTTTAAAGGCGACTCAGACTGTGACTGAGGCTATCCTGTCTCTTCAGGGCCCCTCCCCTCGCTAAAAGCCCTTGTTCTGATTGGCTGCAGAGGAGCGGGAGCCCCGGTCATAACGATGCTACAAACACTACAGCTGGACGTATCTGTTTGTTAAATGTTTGATTACATTTCAAACTGAAGGAAATCAAAAGGCTGAAATGAACTCTGACCTCTGTGTTTCCTCATCAGGCTCCTCCTCTCGTGACTCCATGTTGTTGCTGCTGCTGAGGATCAGTGAGAGCGCGTTAGTGCAGAGCGTGCTGCTAGATCAGGTTTGACTGAGCTAGCTAACGTTTCTGCTGTTTAGCATGGAAACATTATAACGTCAGCACTTTGTAACAGCTGAAACGTTGCTGCATTCAGATCTGAGATCTGGGCTCAGGTCAGTAATCTTTATTGACACAACTGTTATCTAACAAAAACAAAGACAAAGAACACTTTACAAAATAAAAGTCTGAGCAGAAAAAGACTTCCTGTGGTAAAGTTTAAGAGTCAAAAGACTTACAGCGAGTCCTCAGAACGACGACGGCCAGGTGAAGTCAGACAGGTGAGACAGGTTCAGGGTAAATCACCTGAGAGTCCGTGTGTGACTGAGGGCTCACCTGATGACATCACACCTGCCTACAGTGAGTTTATGAGTGAACTCTGATACCTCAGCCCCTCCCTCGCCCGTCTCTCGCTGTACTTTTAGCCAACAGGACAACAGAGGTGTGGCCGCTTTGATTTGTTGGTGCAACAGGAGGCCCGCCCCGTTACCACAGCAACCATGACTGTACAAGCAGACATGCAGGTGTGGAAACTGCAGCATGCAGGTCGCTACCTGCTGCATGTGTGTCATCGTGGTTCAGGTGTTACTGCTTCATGAGAACATTAAAGATCCCAGGGAAGGATGTGTGAGTCTGTGTGAGTCTGTGTGAGTCTGTGTGAGTCTGTCAGGACTGCTGGCTCAGACTGAAGGGCTTTAAATATTTACAGTAACACTGTGGTTAACATGGGCACCGCCTGCTCCTCCACCCTGACCCGAGGCTAAGTGTCTACGCCCTGCACACTCATGATCGCACACCTTCCCCTCTAACACCGTCAGTAAACGTGGTGACGACAGCCGTTGGCCTGATCAGCGGAGGAGACGAGATTGCATACGAGGTTAAACACTGTGGAGATGCTGACTACAACCTTCTGCTCAACACCATCAAAACTGAGGAGACTGTAACTGACGTCACACATTCCCCTGACTGTGCTCAGCGAGCGTCCTCCTTGGTTTTCTGGGGATCTAAGAGAACGTGCTCACCTTCTGCAGCGTGGCCTGATATGCCAGTTGCTCAGTGTCAGACACTGAAAACCTGCAGAGGGTCATTAACGCAGCACAGAAGATCTTCAGCTGTCTCTGGAGGACATGGTCAGGTGTCTCGTTGCCCCTGCGTGACCTCGTGCCCTCTGGGCTCAGGTGCAGGTGTGTGAAAGGCAGGACGGCGAGGCCATCAGAGCGCTGAGCCCGCTGAACGGACCGAGTGATGAATGCACGAGTGAATGTTTGTATGGTGGTGTGCTGCAGTAATAGTTATGTCTCTATCCTGCAGTGCATTTTGTGCATCGATAGTTTCAATAATATACAAGTGGAACGTTTCTAAATAACAACTTCAGTACTTCAGTATTTCCAGGACTTTTATCATTTCTTTCTTTAGTGCCACTCGAACATTTTCACCGTCTCAGGAAGATTTCATCACTTTGCAGATTTTTCCATAAGAATCATGGAGCAAGCTGATTGGTTATAAATGCAAACAGTCATTAAAGCTCAGAGCTGAACTGAAATGAATGTATTGCATCTGATAACTGAAAATGAATCTTATAAATGTAAAATATGAATAAATAAGTGAAGATTTTTCTTCCTCTGAGTTCATCATCCAGGCTCGTCCCAGCCTGTGCAGCTGCAGCACCGTCCTCCCATCAGCTCCCTGTCTCTTTACAACAATTTATCATTGCAGTAATTTATGCGTCCTTCACTGATCCATCGCAAACAACAAAAGCACTTTGTGGATGGGACGCTCCGATCTCTCCCTGCTGCAGAAAGCTGCTCGACTGGAAGCTTCACATTCCCGGTGCCTCTTCTCTGGAGCTTGTTTTTCTTTCTGTTTCCTGGGGAAGCGACGAGCCGCCCGTCACCATTACAGATCCACTCTGGACAAAGCCAGCCTTAAAACGACGCTTACTCGAGGAAGATGAGGGGCTTTCTGATCCTCGTGTTCGGTAAGCTGGTGTGGGCAGCTGTGGGTCATCTCTGACTCTTGTCTCAGCAGCAGCTTTGGGTCACAGCGGATCAGACAGACTTTTATCAGGAATCAACGCACGGTTTGTGGCGGTAAAGCTCCTGACCTGCACTGTTCAGCTCTATTTTTGTTCAGTTTACTTTCAGTTTTCTCGCTTATTTCCCCCTCATGGGGTTATTCTCACTTCATTCCTGAGTTTTAGGTCTTAAGTGCACTTCCTGTTTTATTTTGGTAGATTCTGTCTCTCCCAAACAGTGACAGCAAAGTTCAAAACACTGTTGTGCGTGTGTCCCAGTTTCCCAGCATGCCTTGGCTGCAAAAGTGGAAGTGTACGAGGGGGCGGAGTCTGTGCTTCTGCCCTGCCGGGTAGGTTTTTTACTAGAGGACACCACAGTGACATGGACCCGCCCTGACCTCGATCCCAGCACCGTCCACAGGCGGCACGAAGACCGAGACGAGCCGGACGGTCAGAACACGCGTTACCGTGGGCGCACGGCAATGAGGGCGAACGAGGCGGACCCCAAAGACCTGAGCCTCGCTCTGAGCAAACCCGAGCTGTCTGACACCGGAAGTTACGACTGCATCATCAGCAAGCAGAAAGACGTGCTGAAGCTGACCGACGTAGAGCTCCAGGTCAAAGGTCAGCACTCTCTTTGAAGTCAAAGTAGCTCAGGCACGTAAGCTTTAACACACCACAGACCTCAGCTTTACCTCAGTGGAGCAGGTCAACAGGACCAATCAAAGAGTTGATGACAGTAACCCAGCATCATCACAGTGTGAACGTTAGACAGAAAGCACATGACAACCTGTCCATTTAACATATGGTCACTGTAGCACACAGAAGCCCCGCCCACCAGGATGACACAAACTTTTAATTGTTCGGTCCTCGAGAACGAGTATGAAGAGTTGTGTCGTTGTAGGGCCTCACGATGTAAAGCTGCTTCAGGCAGCTGTTGGTGTGATTTGTACGAATACAGCTCAGCAGGACGCTGCAGATCAGGAGCCACGTTTTTCTCAGCTGGGATCAGATAAAGAAGGATGATCTTGATGCTCTCAAGCAAAGCTGCTCTAGGCTCCAAGAATAACAACGTGGAGCAGCTGGTTAAATCTGTGCTGACAAAACTAAACTAAATGTTGAACTAACTCATGGACGTAATGATAGTTTGTGATGAAGTCGTTTGAAAAAGGCCGACGTCCCCTCACACTAACCTGACCTAACCCTGACCGCCATGCACACCTTTTCTTTGACCCTCTCAGTTGGCATGTTGGAGGTGGAGGTGACAGAAGGGTCCGAGTTCATCCGACTGCCCTGCCAAACGACATCTCCGCTGCCTGCCGACACCGCCGTGGAGTGGAGCCGCTCCCAGCCCATCCCCATGATTGTCCACGTGTTCCCGAACAGCAGCGCAGAGCTGCCGAAGAAACAGGACGAATTCTTCTGTGGACGCACGCGCATGCACGAGGACTCGCTGAAAACGGGAGACCTGAGTCTGACCCTGAAGTACCCGTCAGAGCGAGACAACGGCCACTACGTCTGCACCGTCAACACGGGCACGGACGTGCTGAGGCAGAAAGTAGCCCTGCAGCACGTCAAAAGTGAGTGAAGGGGACGCGGGTGAGAGGGAGGGAGGCGGTTCACACGCTCACATTCGTGCCTCTTTGACCAACAGGACCGTTTCCCACCTGGGCCACGGCTTTCCTGAGCATCATGGCCATCGGTCTGGTTGCTGGCGGAGGTTTTGTGGCATATTTCTGGTATTATTTTAAGATGGGTAAGCTTTCCATTTGTTTTACGTTTTGGTATCTTGTGGTTTAGGTTCAGCTTCCATATTTAATGTTTTGGTTTTGGTTCTTCTCAGTCTCCACCACGGAGGTGGATGAAGGGGCGGAGTCTGTTCACCTGCAATTTAAAACCACACCTAACCTGCCAGTCGGTGCTACAGTGGTGTGGAGGCGCTCCAGGCTTGGCTTCAAACTGGTCACAGTTCATGAGTACTCAAACGGCGAAAGCAAACCAGGCGCGACATACATGGACCGTACAGAGATGGTGGAGGACCCGCTGACATCAGGAGATCTCAGTCTGACCCTGAGGCGACCGCGAAGACGAGACAGCGGGATCTACGTCTGCACCCTCTGCAGGGGCAAAGTCGTGCTGGATGAGAAACGACTGAGGCTGGAAGTCAAAGGTCAGAACCTCCAGGGCTGAAGCTCTGTGCCTGCAGTCCCTTTAGACTCCCATGTTGAAACATGTTTACAGCCTGACACAGAAACAATTCAGATAATTTCCCCCTTTGGACGTCCTGTACATCTGTGTGTACACTTGAATATTTGACATGATGTCAGCGTCATATAGAGATACTGCAGGTAGCCTGAGGACACAGAAAAATAGAAAGTGGAGGACGTCCCCGAGGCTTTACTCCTCGGGTTCTGTTATCAACACTTCTGCTCATTTTTGGCTCCAAAATGACAAAACATGGAGTCAACAAACATCTGGGTGACATCACGGTGGATATGTATGTTTTTATATACAGTCTGTGATCAAATGTCTGGTCTTTGATTGGCTGTCCTTTCAGTCCCTCAGGTGAAGGTGTCAGAGGGGGTCGATGCTGTGCTGCCCTGGAAAACCTGGATCCCTCCTCCAGAAAACGCCACTGTGGAGTGGAGCCGTCATGAGCCGTGGCCCATGATTGTCCATGTCTATCAAAGCGGCTCGAACTGTCTGGAGAAGCAGACCTGGTTGTACCGTGGCCGCACAAAGATGGAGGACGAAGATCCTCGTACGAACAGAAACCTCAGTCTGGTCCTGCACGAGCCCACGGTGCTCGACAGTGGCGAGTATACGTGCACCATCAAAGAGGAAGAGCGAGTCGTGAGGACGAAGAGTCTGAGGCTCCATGTCAGAGGTCAGAGGAAGGTTTCCTGTTTCTGTTGTTTTCGTCTCTTCCTGCTGTCTGACCATCTGTCTGCTCCTTCCTCAGATTTCAATCACGTCTCTGATGATGAAGAACATGGAGAAAAGACTCCTTTGATCAGATATCGTGGGCCCCGGTCTGTCTGATCTCTGGCTCCCCCTCAGGTCCTCTCTGTGAACTGCGCTCAGTATCAATCAGCAAAGAAAGATTTTAAAAGTCCAAACGAAGGAAAGGAGGAAATAAGACGACGGGATTCAAAGGTTTTTAAACGTCATCCATTTTTAAAGTATTTCAGACGACAGAACATGTTTGTTTCTCAGGACCCACATGATAAAAAGTGTTTAGCTGTCATGAAGCAGGCGTTGGTTTGTGGCACGTCTGTGGGGGAGACCGACGCACCGCCGCTCCATCATGTATACGAAGAATGAACTGGGTCCTGAGTTGTTGTTGTTCTGTACGTGTTGCTAAAAGCTGCAGCCCAGGGGTGCTGTAGCAGCAACCGGGAAATAAAGTGTGTCGAGTGTGAAATATGTGTTGGGTCTGTGCTTACCGCCACAAACAACTGTAGGACATCGGACCAGTTAGGGAGATCGTCTGCTTCCACAGACTGTGACAATCTCCCTAACGTCTAAATGTGGGCGTGAGAGGAGCACCCAGGTGCAGACACGCCAGGAGACGGCGCTGAGTTTAAAAGGCGAAGCGTTTATTAGGCTGCAAAAACATGAAGCAGGGGGAGAGAACTACAACTAAAAGCTCAACTGTGACGACAAAGTGACATGAACATGATTCTGAACATGAACACGCCCTGAACAGAATCATGACTTTAAACCTGAGGTAACGTGGCGGGAGGAAAACTGACGACCTGACTGACTGAATGCAAACGCACAGGCTAAATACACACAGGAAGTGATCAGGTGAAGGGGAACAGCTGACAGGAATAAACATAATGACGCCACAGGGGAAGTAAAACTTAACCCGCTAAACATGGAAACACCAGACTCTTCAAAATAAAACAGGAAACAGCAGGTCAAACTAGATCATTAGAACACAATTAGACACAAACACACGTACAACTGAAAGTAAAACACTGAGGACAAGACAGACCACAGGACAGGAAAGACTCATAACTAAGGAAGAAGAACATATACTAAGAACTGAAGACAAACAAATGATAATATGTTGCACACTTGGATTAAGATTCAATTCAATTTAATTCAATTTTATTTATATAGCGCCAAATCACAACAAAAGTCGCCTCAAGGCGCTTCATAGATACAGAGAAAAACCCAACAATCATATGACCCCCTATGAACAAGCACTTTGGCGACAGTGGGAAGGAAAAACTCCCTTTTAACAGGAAGAAACCTCCAGCAGAACCAGGCTCAGGGAGGGGCGGGGCCATCTGCTGTGATTGGTTGGGGTGAGAGAAGGAAGACAGGATAAAGACATGCTGTGGAAGAGAGACAGAGGTTAATAACAGATATGATTCAATGCAGAGAGGTCTGTTAACACATAGTGAGTGAGAAAGGTGACTGGAAAGGAAAAACTCAATGCATCATGGGAATCCCCGGCAGCCTACGTCTATTGCAGCATAACTAAGGGAGGATTCAGGGTCACCTGGTCCAGCCCTAACTATATGCTTTAGCAAAAAGGAAAGTTTGAAGCCTAATCTTAAAAGTAGAGATAGTGTCTGTCTCCTGAATCAAACTGGAAGCTGGTTCCACAGAAGAGGGGCCTGAAAACTGAAGGCTCTCCCTCCCATTCTACTTTTAAATACTCTAGGAACAACAAGTAGGCCTGCAGAGCGGGAGCGAAGTGCTCTAATAGGGTGATATGGTACTACAAGGTCATTAAGATAAGATGGGGCCTGATTATTTAAGACCTTGTATGTGAGGAGCAGGATTTTGAATTCAATTCTGGATTTAACAGGAAGCCAATGAAGGGAAGCCAAAACAGGAGAAATATGCTCTCTCTTTCTAGTCCCTGTCAGGACTCTTGCTGCAGCATTTTGGATTAGCTGAAGGCTTTTCAGTGAGTTTTTTGGACATCCTGATAATAATGATGATAAGATGAGTTGAAACTAGTGTAGCTTTGTGAGTTTGCCTTTACTGTAAATGCAAATGTATAGACATAGCACATCGTTACACATTTGTACAGTCACACAGCTCTTATCAGGTGCACTGCATTATGGTTAGTGGCCAGGCTCATTTACTCCCTCTAGAGCTGCTCGTTTCAGGGAACACTCCCTCTTGTGGTGTAACAGAGGAATAACTGCCCTTACAGCACTGTCTTATTGGAGATTGGGGCACACATTATTTTACAACAACCAAGGAAAGTAACATATTTGAACAATCACAACATGTTAACCAAATATAATATTGTAACTAAAGCTTATGGGGGGTGTCTTGTTTTTGTCCGCACTGGTGTTGGCCAGAGGGGCCGATGGTGCGATATGGCAGCCTGGCTTCTGTCAGTCTGCCCCAGGGCAGCTGTGGCTACACCTGTAGCTGCCTCCACCTGTAGCTGCCTCCACCTGTGTGTGAATGAATAGTGGCATTGTAAAGCGCTATCTAAATGCAATCCATCATTATTATTATTATTATTATTATTATTATTATTATGCCTCTCTTGTCCTTACAAATACAAGAACTTAACATCCTTTCAATGTAACGTCCCGCCCCTGACAGAGGTGATAAAAGTTATTTCAGACTGTGAGTCCGGCCTCAGACTGACACCACTGAAAGATGGTTGATGTTGATTCATCTCTGCAGCGCTCTCTCTTAGGGCAAGGCTAGTTCAGTAGGTAGAGTGGTTGCCCCATGGTTGGAAGGTCGGGGGTTCGACTCCCCTGAACGACTCCCCCGAGGAACCCCTGAGCAAAGTCCCTGCACACTGCTTCACTGGGTGAATGGGAAAATGCAGAGGAGCAATTTCCCTACGGTGACTAACACACACATTATTTTATTAATATAAAGAGACACCTGCAACCTTACTCACAGCTCTGCTGCAGGTTAAAGCGTTAGGCCATATAAAGCCATCAGCACTTCTGAGGTGTGTCCTCCATCCTGTGACCAGAATCAGCCTCAGAGCTCCATGTGGAAGGAGGTCTCAGCAGGAGCTCCAGTGGAGGATCCACAAACGACACAGAGAACATTTTTGTTGAGCTCATTGACTTATTCTCAGTCAGACTCGTGTTTGAGATGTTCAGGATTCCTTGAAGTCATCACAGGACTAAACATGAGCACAAAAACCTCAACAATACTACATCAACTTTTCATCATGTGATTAGGTTTCATCAGCTTTAAGACATAAAAGCAGTCAGAATGAGCAGCCTGTGTCACTCTGGCCGACCTGTAAAACCAAGCGGGCACAAAGTGAGAGATTCTGTGCAGGAGTTCTGTGCACTGAGAAAAAATGGAAATGAATAAAAGCATCGTGTCAGCGTGTGCCTGAACTCTCTCTTTGATTTCTTTAAATGACAGTTTCATTACACAAACAAAAACAGGTAAATCAGCAGCCTCACGTGGGCTGAGGTCCAGAGCCGGCTCACTGTGGCATCCGCTTTGGTCCTTTGATGGATTTCAAAGTGAGATCATGGATATCAGAACATCCGTGGCGAAGAAATGTCGAGGGAAAAAGTCCTGTGAAGGTTCGAGGTGTTTCAGTGTGGTCTATAAATTGGAATAAAAGCATTTATCCATGCAACATTCATCCATCCACCCACCGATCATTCATCTGTCCCTCCTTCTAAATGTCCTTCTGTCCAACGGTCCATCCATCGACGTCGTGGGCATGCTTAGCAACAGTGTTTTGCTTAAACCACGAGTTGGGATGTTGTGGGGGTTCTTATCACAATGTTCCCCAGCCTTAAGCTGCTTGTCACACTCTTTCCCTGATAACGCCGCTAAGCTTTCTTAAGGTGGAAGATTACTGAGGGGACAAGCGCTTTTGTGGGCCAAAGCATTTTTCACTTTTCATCCTATTGCTTCCTCCCGATATGATGCTTTCTTCAATGAACTGAAAAAGACTTTTGCTTATCCAGTGTCTGAGAGCAGTTCTTCCAAGAAATGATTGACCTTTCGTGGCAATCCAAGCGTAGCTGAGTTTGTGGTTGCTTTTCTTAGTGTGGCCACCGAGATGGACTTCTCTTTGTATACCTTTCAAGGCATATCCCCAAAAGTCCGTTTTATGATTATTACATTACATCACCTACAGCAGTTCTCTGACGACTCTTCCATAGTCGGCCTCAGCACAGGTGAGGACGACTCAGAGTACAGACAGTGGACTCTGGACTTTATGGACTGGTGTCAGCAGAACCACCTGCTGATCAACGCCGGGAAAACCAAGGAGCTGGTGGTGGACTTCCGGAGACGCAGACCCACCACACTGACACCGGTGAACATCCAGGGAGTGGACATTGAGATAGTGGACTCTTATAGGTACCTGGGTGTTCACCTGAATAAAATAATAAACTGGAGCCACAACACTGATGCTGTTTACAGGAAGGGTCAGAGCAGACTCTACCTGCTGAGGCAGCTGAGGTCATGTGGAGTCCAGGGAGCGCTTTTAAAGACCTTCTCTGACTCTGTGGTGGAATCTGTCATTTTTTACAGTGTTGTATGTTGGAGCTGCAGTTTATCAGCAGCTGAGAGGAAGAGGTTGGATAAACTCATCAGGAAGACCGGCTCTGTTCTGGGATGCACCCTGGACCCAGTGCAGGTGGTGGGAGACAGAAGGACTCTGGCCAAAATAACATCTCTGATGGACAGAGTCTCCCACCCCATGCATGTAATTTTTGTGTTGCTGCAGAGCTGCTTCAGTGACAGACTGCTGCATCCTCGATGCATGAAGGAGCGTTTCTGCAGCTCCTTCCTCCCTGCAGCTGTCAGACTGTACAATCTGAACTGCTCCCAACAAACACAGATGTTTACATCAACGCTGTAACTGCAATAATCAACCGAACAACTACTACTGTTATAGCTGCACATCACTTTTCTCAGTTTATATACGCTAACTTTTTGGAAGTTACACGTTTACTTTTTAATGCACAGGTACAATCACACAATCTGCACTTTACCAAAAAATATTCTTAACTATTTAAACATCTTTCAGTATCCTGCTCTGTTTGCCACTTATCTGTACTTTATTTTAATAACTGTACAGGACTCTGCTTTGGTAATTATTGTCCATGATGTAAATATGTAAAAGTTGTGTTTCTCACCTGTGTCCTGTTTTTTTTGTATGTTTTTGCTACTGTTACAACCAAATTTCCCCTTGTTGGACAATTAAAGGATTATTCTATGCAAATTGCCATGATCATTGATCAGTGACCATTGAATGGTTATGAGTACCATCACAGTGGGCTGTATTTTTGCACTAAATGACCAGATGAAAGACCGGTGAACCTGCTTCTTTTGAGGAATTAACCTCCCTCACTTTCACGATTGACAACTGCCTGAGGCAAAGGGAAGCTGAAAAGAACTACAAGGCCCATAAGGCACCTGCTAGTTCACCTCTGTTGTCCGTCC